CCAGCACCTCAATATCTTTTTCCCAGCCAACAATAAATTACTTTATTTCGTTGCTCCAAATGAGCCTCTGTCATGGTGTTCACAGACATGACTTTTTATTCTGAGGTAAAATTTGCTAGCTAAATGGGTGATTGTACTTACCTTATTTGATAAATGATTTACAAGCTGTCGACGAAGGTGTGATCTTTTATTTATTTAGTCATTTAGCAGACGCTTTTATCCAAAGTGACTTACAAATGAGGACAACAGAAGCAATCAACTGTAGTATTAAAACAACTAAAACCCGATCCAAAGCTAAAACTTTATAAATACTACCTATACACATTTTAAAAATAAAGAGCTAAAATAAAAATGACAAATGCATGTATACAACAAAATTTCATAACACTAAAACAATTTTAAATAGTAAAGAACAAAAGGTATAAGAGTATAATAACGATTCTAACATAACACTAAACCAAACACCAAAAAAAAAAACTACATGTGTATGTACAACCAGACTCTTAAAAATAAAGGTGCTTCACGATGCCATAGAATAATCTTTTTGTCTAAATGGTTCCATAAAGAACCTTTAATATCTGAAGAACCTTTCTGTTTCACAAAAAAGAAAGATGGTGAAAGAAGGTTCTTCAGATTACAAAAAGGTAAGAAAGAGATGGTTCTTTAAAGAACCTTTGACTGAATGGTTCTTTGTGGAACCCAAAATGGTTCTTCTATGGCACCGCTTGAAGCACTTTTAAGAGTGCACACACACACACACACACACACACACACATATATATATACACACACACATTTATATATAAATTCAACATATATATTTAGTTAATATAATATACATTTAGTTTGTTGAAGTATTAAAATAACTTACAATAACTCAAATTAAATACAACTAAAAACTTAACAAAATACCTATACAGACATAATAAATTCAGACATAATTTAACAAAAATTTAAATAAATAAATAATTATACAAATCAAATGACAGTAGTTTATCAGTAATCCTAAAAAAATCTGTGATCTGCGAGCAGCTGACCGAAGCCTCCTCTGAGCTGTTGATCCAATCAACGTTAAAACGCCGATGAAAACGGTAAGAATTGCATGAAACATTGCTGATGTTCACGCAGTAGTGAGGGCTCTTTAAATTTGGGCGCTGTTGTGAAGACGCATGTCACGTGACAACATCAACATGGCGGTCCGAATTCCATTCATACTACTCTCATTCATACTATATAGAACGTACTTTTTTAACGGTCGAGTAGTACGTTCAAATTCAAATGTAGTACATACTAAGCAGTATGCGATTTCGGACGCACCCAGTGTGTTGACGTCATTTCAACTGAAACAGGAAGACAGGGCGGGACATATCAAGCAGCCCCGCCCCTTTTTAAAATAGCCAATAGCTTTCGTTTATATCACAGCTTGGGCTAGAGCAGTTCAGAGCCGGTGAGCTCCGTAAAGACGCATTTGACAGGGTATGCCAGCCACAATCTCATCCATATTGCTATAAAAATATAGCATTCTGTGTAGAATTTAAATAGCTCAGATACATTTTGTGGTCTGCGCCGACTCGCGCATGTGATCCGCTCCGTGCTATCGTGTCTCTGGACCGGAGCAGAGTGTGTGTGGTGGTTAGCGTGCACTATATGCCATTCACTTTACAGAAAATACTAATTCTGTGGACAAGTGACCGATTTCAGCTGCGGCTTCAGCATCTATTTTATAGTGTAGGGGGCGGGCGCTTCGGATTCTAGAGAGCATTTGATTGGAGAGAAAGTTTGATGAGAAGCTGAAATACGATGTGACGTCAAAAAAAATCATTGAGCCTTTAATATAATATGAGCCATCAAGCTTTGAATGCTTATATCTTCTAAATGCGAATTTTGTCACCATTTTGGAGCACACTGCCTTATAGATAACCTTAAGACTAACTTATTGATACTAACACCCAAAAAAACTTTAATTTTGATTTCATGGGGACTTTAAATCCCTGATGTCTCTTACAGTGAGCTTGGAAACGCTGCAATGGGAAATAGAGGTTTTGTGACCTGAGAGCAGAATGATTTATAATGTTCATTTTTTTAACAGAAGAAAGTCATCCCCACAACATGTAGAGGAGTAAATGGCAGAATTTAATTTTTTAAAATCAATTTTAACATAAGCAATCCACTGACACTTAAAGTCGCAATGTAATGAAAGTGGAAACATTTTTTATGTATTGTGATGTACATTCAAGTTAAAGAGATTATTAAGAAAAATAGGGTGTGACTTGATTCAAACCATTGGATGTTGATTGGATGGAGGCTAATCTGAATGTGAGCTTATTATCACTTGTAAATAAAATTAAAAAAAATAACAATTTTGAGTTTAAGTGAACCGTTTCATGCCAACTTTAAGGAATGATTGATTAAGAAATGACGGTACATGTAAACATCTCACATCTTATCATAATACATGCCTTAAGATCTTAGAATAAATGAATTAAGGTCCATTGAGTCTGAAAAGATGTTTAGGCTGCTGTTCAGGGCCAAAAGTTTAATTCCCAGTTAGACTTACAGAAATACACTTTAAAAAACCCACTAAATAATTACTTGGAAGAGCAAACACCATGCCATCCATCTATTTTATCCTATAAAACAGTTTGAAATGTGTTAAATATGGACCTTAAGCAAACTCTGTGGCCTCCAGCAACACGCCTAATAAGAACACACACACACACAGGCAGGTCAAAGCCAGTCTAACTCCTGCTGGGTTAGACATTAAAGACAGAGGATGAGGAGACGAGAAATTAAGTTTGATGTACTCTAACATAACAGTTATGATATCCTGTTATCCGAGTGTCACCATGGTAACAAAAGAACTGCAAAGCAGACATAAAGGCTTCAGTAATCCTCCACAGAAAACTCTCATACATGGACATGGAAGCTCTAACAATTAACAAACATGGATCCCAACAAAACACCATCTGCCCCGACTCTGTTAGCACAACAAAACAACTCAATGAATATCAAGCAAACAAAGAGTTTTTTCTCTCACTTTTGTCTCTTTCTCCCACTGTGTCAAAGTCCCCCGTCATAAATTCCATTTTCCCTGCAGATTCCTTCAGGAAGGATTTGCCACTCCACATCAAATCACACAGATATGATTCACCCCTACAGAGCTCTATTGTATATCAACCTCTGTCCATGTGGAGCACTACTAGAGAAAAACTCAAGGAAATGTTGATTGGCTGCAAAAATAAATCTCTGCTTAAATGAGCTTCAGGCTATGTTCAGCAAGCTTGAAAAGCTTGTAATCCACAGCATTTATTTACGAAGAAGGTCACTGTGGGTGGAGAAGCCCCGTGCTCCAGTGGTGTGGCTATTTGCTAAGCAAATTGCCAGCAATCTGAGCAAATCCTGTCCTCTGATGCAAAGTGAGTCGGACAAGCATGGAGTCAAACAATGCAGTCGCACATGAGAGAGCTCTTCCCCCGTATCACACACACTCATCTAGGAAAAGGCTAGAGGGCCTCGGATTCCTAAAAGCACAGCAGCTCCCAGGGAAGGAAATGCAGTAAAACTGAAGGGAAGTGGAAAGTTTCACTAATTAAAAAGAGCATTCCTTAAATGTTTCCAACCATTTGATCCATGTTTAACTGGGAAATATGAAGCTCTGAACTGAATGACACACTGTGTGCACGAAATGAACTATTGAGCAAACTTCTTGTCTACAGGCACACAGAAGATTTTATCCTTCAGCCCTAGTACAGATGATCAGTACTGTGAAGGACAAAAACAGTATATTTCAAGAATGAGGAGTCGAACTGAATTTATGTTTTCACAAAGGACACAACAATAAGCATCTGTGGCATTGAAAATTATTTCATTTTTTGTAACAACAATAAATTGATTGTTGTAGCAGGGTTATTTTCCATGATTTTTAACAAATTTTACTGGATTTTTAAAAAACATTTTAACCTTCCACAATGTGAGCTGACTGCACCTTTACTCAGTAAGTTTTTGTATACATTTGGCTGGTTATTATTTATCTCCAAAGCAGCATGTTTTACACTTACTGACACCTATCAGAGTGGATGCATTTAATGTGTGTACTAATTGCTGCTGGTCTGCATTGAAGCCGTGTATGGCAGGTAGTTCTTGTTTGGACATTTGGACTCAGTCTGCTGAGTCTCAATAACTAAATGAATGATATAAAGTAGATAGAGAAGTATTATTTTTGACATTTAATCAATTGCATGACAGAGCTGGTCTTGTGATGTCAACATGTCAGCACCCAATCTCCATGTATAATAAAACAGCTTTTTTCTAGAGGACTGATAGGATTATGATTGATCTCACGTGAGTGTAAATCATATTAGCCATATTTCTCAATAGTATGGTTCATTTCTTTATGTGACAACGTTTTTAATATGTTTAAAAAAATACTGACTGCATATTTAAATGACCACAACGAGCCACTTCTAGCTGGTCAAAACTGGAACAATTTATAATCATTAAAATGCCAAGATTTTAAAGAATTTATTAGTTTCCAGGACTGGAAATCACAATTTTAAAATTCCGTGATGTTTCCAGGTTGTCTATGAACGTGTAACGCTGTGCTACACGTTTTACATTGATTAGATGACACGAGCCCTGTGGATTAGGTGGTTATTCTGAAAGCTCGGTGTTTACTAATGCCGAATTGAACGCATTTTTAATCAAATCCGACAAGACTCTGCGCAGTTGTCACTTGCCACGTAAAGCGGAATCCAGCAGGAAAAGCGCAGCCGCCCCATCAGGCGCAGATGTTGAAAACTTAAAGAAGTTATTAAAAATATCTCACCACCGCGACAGAGCTCAGGCAATAAACTTTATAACACGGTGCAAACTACAACAAAGACGTCAATACCACGCTAAACATGTGCGCGTTACAAATTACAAACTTATTTCAAACATAATAGACTTTCAGTGGATTCTCAAGTGTTTGGGAATTTCATGCGCATAATTTATCAACTCACCATCTTCCTGGATCCTTCTGGAAAAAATGAAGTTTAAATTCCGTTTACAGGGCCGCAATACCGGTTAGGTGAAAAACAGACAAAACACCATAAATATTCTCAGTATCATTTTTAAGGACTATAGGCAACTTTTCCACTGCTTTTTCCCAAACGCGAGCCAACCACTCCATGGCCCAGCCCACCGCTGCGGCCTCATTGGTGGAGCCTTTTGTTGCCGGTCTCTAATTGGTTTTTAGACACGTCAATCAAATTCCCTGAGTTTCTCCGTGTGGATGGACACATGCGTTCCAATGTGTGTCACGTGATGTCTGTGAACCGCTCCGGTACACATTCTGCCTCTCTCACATCCAGAGTTCTACATATATTATTAATACAATTACTGGAAAATCGTACAGAGACTGCTATAATATATAGGTGAAATAAACACCTAGATTAAATACAAGATCAAAGCATTTCACACAGTTACTTGTTTTCCTAATTATAAAATGAAAATCACAATCATTTTGAAGTAGGTTGTGATTTATTGTAGTCGATTCCTTTCACAAATGTCCAAAGTTTGGAAAATGATTGCAGTATATTTGCAGCCCTGTACTGCACTCTAGTGGTCACACACAAACTCGCTAAACTCGGTCCTGGAGGGCCAGTGTCCTGCAGAGTTTAGCTCCTGAACCAGATAATCAAGCTCTTATAGACATACTAGAAACTTCCATTCAGGTGTGTTGAGGCAATTTGGAGCTAAACTCTGCAGGACACCGGCCCTCCAGGACCGAGTTTGGACACCCCTGCTCTAAACACATTGGAAACTAAACAGTTAAAATGGGTATGCAATGCAAATGGGTATTGTTTTTTCCCCCAGTGAGAAAACAAAAAAAGGCAAACATATTTTGGGTGTAAAACCTTATATTTATACGTGTACACACACACACAATATATATACACATGCATTTCCCTGCAAGTAATCATTTAAATTGAAATGTGCACCAGCATTACACCGATTTATATTTAAATACACAACGGATTTCCAGTCAACATACTGAAGACAACTGTGAACACAAGCAGTAGTTTGTTACAGTATTGAATTATTGAAACTTATTATATGAAATAAACCATTAAATGTAGCAGGAAAATAAGTTTAAATAATAAAACATGGTTTTGGTATACATAGAAGTACATATGAATTCCCAAAATGAAAAAAAAATAACGGGGAAAAAAACAAGAAAGATAGTTTCAAGGTTAGTGACATTTTGTGTTATTTCCTTCTCTCTCATTCGAGAATAACGAATGGTGTCTGTGAGCTATTTAAATATCATTTAGCTAACCTGCTGAACATGTGTGACACAATTCTAGAGTTCACACAAACCCGCAGTTCTGACTCTCACATTGTGAAAGAACAGGCAAAAAAAAAGCTGAACTGCTCTTTTTAAACCTCACTGAAAAACAAGAGCAACTAAAGCTGAGGTAATTTAGCAGCTGATAGCAGTTAAACTACCCCTTTGTTACCATTACAAAATATTCATGGAATAAATAAATTCCTTAATATTTATATAATACTTTTTTCCACCTGTTGCTATCAGATAATACCGCACATCCTCTTTGTGTCATCCTCAAAATACCCTGAGCTGTTACAAAGGTCAAGCGTTGTACTGTTGTTTTTTTCCTTCCTTCATTTCCTGTAGTAGCATTAGATCATTGATGTGCAGATTCATTTGGCACTGTTTTGTATTGTCTGTTATATATGCTTATGCTGTATGCATCAATGTGCATTTTCTGTTCTGCTTTTCAACTTCTAAAGAATCTATATAAAGTATGACAAAAAGAAGAAGTACGGAGTATAACCAAACACACAAACACAGAGGAACTCTAGTTCAATATAGTCCTCGAAATGAAACAATATATTGTCAAATAAAACTTCCTTTCTATCCCTTATCCCTCCCTGGCACACACGTACGTACACACACACACACACACACACACATTCCTTTCTACAGAGATAAGTCAGTCTCTGACAGAACAAACCCTATTTATGCAGAACACAAAGAGTTTAGTCAAACATCCACAAAAACTCACAAAACAGTGAGTTGCCTACAGCCATTGAACACCAATACACAACATCTGTAAAAGAAAAATCCTTCGTATAACTAAAACAAAAACAAGGTCTGATGGCTTTGAGCTGAAGTTTCCATAGCAAACTGAGTGACATTTAGTTAAGTAGAGTGTGGTTGAGCTGACAGACCATGCTTGGTCATGAAGCAGACAGGGTTTTCGTTATCACAAAACAAATAACTACTAGGAGTAACAAATATGAGCCTATCAGATAAAAACTTGATCTCACAGCTTGAGAGATACTGTGCTGCACAGACTGCCAATGTACAAGGAGAAATATGACTCAAACAGCCACTCCCGAAACACCCAAACACACATAAAAGGCTTCTTTCAGGACGCCCAACTCAACTAAAACAGGAAGTTGAAAGCAAGTTGCATAAACAGATCTCATGATATTTGCATGCCCAAAAAAAGTCACCCTGAAACATGCACCAGACTTGTAGTCATTGTTTTAAGTACCCAAAAATATATAGATAGAACTACTTGAAGGGATAGTTCACCTAAAATGAAAACTCTGTTACCATTTATTCATCCTCATGTCATTCCAAACATGTATGACATTCATTCTTCAGTAAAACACAATAAATAATATATATATATAAATAAAATAAATAAATAAAGTATTTTAAAAGAAATCATTTGGTCCAATGAAATCAATGAAAGTCATGAGATGTTGTTTGGACCCCACTGACTTTCATTTATTTGACAAAAACAGTCATTCTTTCAGGTTTGGAATAACATTGAGGGTGAGTAAATGATGACAGAATTTACATTTTTGGGAAAACTATTCCTTTAAATACAGACACTTCACCAACTGTGCAATATGTGTGCTCACGTTTTAGCAAGTAGTACTAGTTAGTGCTAAACCTAAAGCTCTTTAACAAACCATTAAATAATACTCCCTAAAAACACAACTGTACAATATTGCATATTATCTCTCTGCTTCGATCTGCTCTGTATAGCAGACTGTATCTTCACCAGACTGTATTTCCCATAAGGCTTTGCTCTTAGCGTTAATCAGCTGGCATGGGGCTTGTGTCGAGCCTTATCTCGGATTGGTCCATTTTCTGCTGCAGGTTTATTGTCAAAGTTCCAGTCCACAGGATTAAGAAGCTGCTGGGTTTTCTTATGCGTCCAAATGGGGTTGAGGAAGAAGGTGAGCAGGAAGAGACCTATGAAGAACAGCAGTCTCTGAACCAATGGGATGTGGGTGTTCATCTCCTCCCAATGGTTCCAGATTACCCACCACATGTAGTAGGTCACAACCATACGGCAGTGGAACATGTGAATCATCACCCACTGGTTAGCTTTCCAGAAAAGCGTCTTAGACCAGCCCGCCTTTGAAAAGAAGGAATGTCAGAGATAAACCAAGTTCAAAACAGGGGCTTATTAATTTCAATGTAGCTACACAGAGGGAGAATCTGAATTTCAATTTCAACTGTATACGGACAGATTTTTTAACTCTGATCTCTGAAATCTAAAACAAATAAACCGAACAATTCAAACTGTTGCTCCATCATGACAAGAGTTGATCTGAACTGATAATTTATTGCTAACGCCTGTTATGTTTTCATTAAAAAAAGGAAAAGCAGTGCAGTGGAATGCAGAATCGCATTGTGTGTGAATGGCCCCTAAGGGGTTATTCCCATAGAACTCGTTTGGTTTTTGCATTTAAAAATATGAGACACAGGGCAGTGGACTGAAAAAACTCTTTAAAAAAAAAAAAAGTTGTCCTTAGACCTTTGCTTCTTACCTTAAGGAGCATCCAGGAAATGCAGGTGAAAGGTGTGCTCATCTCCAGCAGCAAAGTCACCATAGGGAGGAAATGACCCAGCCAATTCCACACAACCGCCCCGGCAAACCCTGCGAGGGCGAATAAGTGATGCATGGCCAACGGCAGGTCGAAAGACTGGAATGCCAGGTTGGAAGAATGAAGGGCCACATTTTCAAACAGGAAGAAGCCTGTAGCGGTCAGCACGTTGAACCAGGACCAGTTCTCCTGCCCGAGAATCTTATCAGAGTAGACGGCAGAGTCCTCCATAAGCACACGAAGCCCTGCCACTGTGCTCTGGATGCCAAACACAGCCCTTGTCGCAGCCAAATCCCAGAAGACCTTGAAGCAAAGATAAACATGTTAATGTTAGGAAATGATCTAGACACAAAAATGTCACAATATCATATTAAAGGGACAGTTTATGCAAAAATCTAAATTTGCTGACAGTTTACTTATCTATCCTCAGACCATTCAAGATGTAGATTGGTTTGTTTCTCTTTATCGAAACAGATTTGGATAAATTTGCATTGCTTTTTCACCAATAAACCCTCTGCAGTGAATGGGTGCCGTCAGAATGAGAGTCTAAAAAGCTGATAAAATCATCACAATAATCCACAGGCTAATCAACACAACTCCAGTTCATCAATTAACATCTTGTGAAGTGAAATATGCACAGATCATGCACCATTTACAAGCAAAACAGTCCAAAACTGTTCTAAATAAATATGTCAGTGGATTCTGATGTGAAATAACAACAGGGTAATAGACTTTTTCATTGGATGAAGCATTATTATGGACATCACCTTAAAGATGAATTTTTTTTTACAAACACAGCTTTTTGCTTCACAAGACATTAATTTATAGAGTCGTATGGATTATTGTGATGTTTTTAATCAGCTGTTTGAACTCTCATTCTGACGGCACCCATTCACTTCAGTGGATCCTTTGTTGAGCAAATGATGATATGTTAAATTTCTCCAAATCTGTACTGATGAAGAAACAAACTTATCTTCGTCTTGGATGGCCAGAGAATGAGTGGATTTTCAGCAAATTTTTATCTTTGGGTGAACATTTCCTTTAAAAAAAAAAAAACAGAATCTTTTAAAAATCAACCATATTAATGGGCACCTTTTCTTTGGCTGACAGTGAGCGGTAGGTGTGAAACAGCAGGTTAGATAGGATGTGAGAGAGGAGGAAGATAAAGGTGTAGAAGATGAAGCCCAGGCCGACGATTTTCAGCTGAATGTCCTGGGAGGAGTAGTCCATGCTGAAGTTGTGACCTGAG